AGCTGGTGTCCTTGCGGGCGCAGAAGTCCAGCCTTCTGGGGTTCCGTACACATGCTGACTACGTCCTGGAGATGAACATGGCCAAGACCAGCCAAACAGTAGCCACCTTCTTAGGTAGCCGCCCCGCCCTTCCCCGTCCCGCCCTCAGCCCGGAGGATCACTGTTTTCACTCACCATATGTCAGGCCTGGGGTAGAGCCCACATCCTGCGTCCAGCCCCCCACGCGGGCTTGCCCTTCTGGGGCGCAGTGGATGGTGGTGGGGACCTCGTGTCACGTGGGCGGTGACACACCCCTCCTGGGCAGCGGGGGTGACGGTGGCACCTCTGCAGATGAACTGGCACAGAAGCTGAAGCCGCTGGGTGAGCAGGAGCGCGCGGTGATCCTGGAGCTGAAGGAGGCGGAGTGCGCCAAGCGGGGGCTGCCTTTCGACGGGCGCATCCACGCGTGGGACATGCGCTACTACATGAACCAGGTGGAGGAGACGCGCTACCGTGTGGACCAGAACCTGCTGAAGGAGTACTTCCCGATGCAGGTGGTCACGCGTGGGCTGCTGGCCATCTACCAGGAGCTGCTGGGGCTGACGTTCATGCTGGAGGACGGGGCCGCCGCCTGGCACGAGGACGTGCGTCTGTACTCAGTGCGTGACGCCGCCTCTGGAGAGGAGGTCGGCAAGTTCTACCTCGACCTGTACCCCAGGTGGGCACGGGGACCTGCCGGGACGCCGGGGGGGACCTGCCGGGACGCCGGGGTCACCCTCGCTCACCCTGTCTGCAAGGGGATAGAGAGCAGGAGGCCCGGGCAGCGCGGCTCCTGCTGTGGGCAAGTGTGGCTCCTCCGGGTCCCGTAGCCACTGACGGGCGCCGGCTCTGGGTGCCTGGGTGTCCCTCGGCTCCGCTCTGACCCCGGCTCACTCCTCAGGGAAGGGAAGTACGGCCACGCGGCCTGCTTCGGCCTGCAGCCGGGCTGCCTGCGACAGGATGGAAGCCGACAGCTGGCCATCGCGGCCATGGTGGCCAACTTCACCAAGCCCACGCCCGACGCGCCGTCCCTGCTGCAGCATGACGAAGTGGAGACCTACTTCCATGAGTTCGGCCATGTCATGCACCAGCTCTGCTCACAGGTGAGCGGCCTGGGGCCCCTGGGGTGCAGCGCGTGGCTGGGCCAATGCCATGGACAAGCGCCGGCGGCGTTGGCTTGGCGCATTCACCACGTCCTGGCCCAGGCGGGCCTGGGCCCTCTGCTCCGCGGAAAGGGTCTTCATTGCATTTGCTTGTTTTCGCGTGAGGGGTGTGTGCACTTGTGTGCCGTGACTTACATGCGCAGACCAGAGGACGGTTGATCCTCGCCTACCATTTGAGTCTTGGGGTTCGAACCTGGGCTTGACAGCAAGCTCCCTTAGCCACTGAGCCACGTCCCTGACCTGTCCCTTCCCTCCTGCTCCGTGTCTGGTGTGATGGTGGCCTGCGGTGGTCCCCACGCCCTCCAGTCAGCCATCTCGCCCACACCTCCCAACATGGCTTTGGGGGTACAGTTCAGCCCAGCCTCTCCCAGCACTGGGCTGTTGTGTGCAGTGTGCATAGATCGGAGGCTGGAGCAGAGCCAAGGCCTCGTGAACCTCACTGTGAGGCCTGGGGACCCGGAGATGTGGGGGGCCCAGCCTCTGCGGCTGGTGGCGTCCGGTGTGCAGGAGCCCGGTGCGCTGACAGCTGCTGGGACGGCAGAGGGGCCTAGGCCAGATGTGTGGCCTGGGCACCAGCATGCCCTAAGGCTTGTACCCGCTTGTGCCCTGGGTAGGCGGAGTTCGCCATGTTCAGTGGGACCCATGTGGAGCGTGACTTCGTGGAGGCGCCGTCCCAGATGCTGGAGAACTGGGTGTGGGAGAAGGAGCCACTGACGCGCATGTCCCAGCACTACCGAACGGGCAGCCCAGCCCCTCAGGACCTGCTGGAGAAGCTCATCAAATCACGCCAGGCCAACGCAGGTGAGGCCATGCCACCCTTGGCCATAGGCACTCAGCCGGATGGGAAGCTTAGTGGCACTTCCTGCTGGCTGACCTCTGACCTCCCCCCAAGGTCTCTTCAACCTTCGGCAGATCGTCCTGGCCAAGGTGGACCAGGCCCTGCACACACAGACAGATGCCGACCCGGCTGAGGAGTATGCCCGGCTCTGTCAAGAGATCCTCGGGGTGCCGGCCACGCCAGGTAGCTGCTCAGAGGCCTTCCCCAACCCCCAGAGAGCCGCAGGCAGCGTGGGGGCGCCCCAGGGGCTGCGGGAGACACAAGCCACCACACCCGCCTCACTCTGCCCGCGTCCTTTACCCATGCTCACCCTCCCTAGGCTGCCTGTCATGGGCCTCGCCCAGGGGGCACACGGGGACATCATGCACACCCTCAGAACCCAGGACAGTCGCCACGTGCCCCACACTGGCCCCGCCCAGTCCGCCCTTCCCTGGGGGCCACTGCAACCTGCACCCCATTGTGTCTGCCCAGGGACCAACATGCCAGCCACCTTTGGCCACCTCGCCGGCGGCTACGACGCGCAGTACTATGGCTACCTGTGGAGCGAGGTCTACTCCATGGACATGTTCCACACGCGCTTCAAACAAGAGGGTGTGCTGAGCCCCAAGGTGAGTCCCAGTGCGCTGCCCTGGGCCTTCCGCCAGCAATGTCGGGAGCCAAGGATAGCACCGCGCTGCACGAGGCTCCCAGCTAGGCAACTGGGGCCTGCCTCTGCGCATGCGCGAAGACGCTGACCCCAGGTCTACAGGGCCTCCCCTCGGTGTATGTAACCCCCGCTGCCAGCCCCACCCCCTTTGACCCTGATCCCTGTTGCCCCCAGGTTGGCATGGATTACCGGACCAGCATCCTGAGGCCAGGGGGCTCTGAGGATGCCAGCGCCATGCTGAAGCGGTTCCTAGGCCGTGACCCCAAGCAGGACGCCTTCCTCCTGAGCAAGGGCCTGCAGGTGGAGGGCAGCGAGCCGCCCGCCTGCTGACCGCAAACCAGCCCGCCGCCCTGTGCCTTAGCCTAGCCCAGGCGGGGCGGCCTCAGCAGCCCTCGGGCCTGTGGATGAGCTGGGGCAGTGTTCCATCCTCGCCATGCCCCGGCTCAAGGTCCCCGTCCTCAGGGCCTGGCCTCAGGCCGCCCTGGTGGCCTCCGTCTTGCACTAGCCCCTCCCCAGCACCTGGTGATGGACACTGTTTTCTGTGATGCAGCCATTAAACTTGATAGAGGCCCCTGCCCGCCCCTCCCTGTCTACTGCTCCGCCCCACACGTCCCCAGTGCCCTGGGCTGTGACATTCTCGGGTCCTATGACAGTCCAGCTGTTGGAGGGTGCTAAGGGAGGGTGCCAGGGTCACCTGCCCAGTGTGTCGCTCAGGGTCATTGTGTCTGTTCTCAACAACCAGCTTCTGGACCTTTCCGGGGGCGGCTGCAGGAAGACTTGGTGAGGGTCTGCCACCTGCTGGCTGTGTGCAGTATTGCAACCCCTAACCACCATTAAATCTGCATTTAAAGAAAAAGACAGGCCCTTGTGTAGCCCAGGCTGGCCTCCTCCGACTTGCCGGAACAGCAGACAGTACAGACGCACAACCAGGAAAGCTAGTATCCACGGCAAAAGGAAGCCAATGCGATCAACTCCAATCCGCATTTCACACAAGATCCCAAACTATGTAATCCACTGTCCAAAGACACCCTCTTCAGGCACAGTGATACATGCCTGTCATGGAGGCGTCTAGGAGGCCGCCACCGAGGCAGGGGCATGGGCAGTTCCAGTGTGGCTCCTGTGGGTTCTGACCCAGTGGCTCAGTCAGTAATACTTTGCTCACAGAGTGCCCTTGTTATGTCTGCACGGGGTGGGGGATGCCTGGGGCTCCCTGGTCAGCCAGCCTAGGCGAATCGATGAGCCCCAGTCAGTCTCAGAAGACAGGTCAGGGCTGGAGGGGTGGCTGAGTGGTTAGAGCACTCGCTGCTCTGGCCCGAAACCCTGGTTAGATTTCCAGCACCCACATGATGGCTCATGGCCGCCTACAACTCCAGTTCTGGGGTGGGGTGTGTGTGTCAACACCCTCTTCCGGCCTGCTTGGGGGCTGTAGTCACGTATCTACACACAGGCGCACAGGAAGGAAGGGGTACTGGACAGGGGCTCAGTGGTTAGAGCACTTTGTCTTGGCAGACTTGGACTCAGGCATCAGGACCGCCTGTCACTACTGGTCCAGGGAGTCCCGTGGCCCCTCACCTCCGAGGGCTCCCTCACCTCCGAGGGCTCCTGCTCACACAGGGCACAGGCACACGAATGCTTTAAAAAGGAAGGATGGCTGCCACTCTCAGACGGGGTCAGATCAAGACCCTGGGGCACATGTCCAAGGGGATGAGGTGACGGTGGGCAGGGGCCTTGAGCAGACTCATCTGGCACTTAATGGATGTACCCAAAAAGGGAAGAGCATATGGAATGCGGCAGCCGGACCTTTCATCCCAGCACTGGGGGGCGGGGGAGGGACGGACTTCCGAGTTCCAGCCAGGCGGAGAGAGAGAGGCCTCTTAAAGCAGCAGAGTGGACCAAGACCCTGGGGAGGTGGGTGCCCGGCCCTGACAGATGCAGAGTCCTCCGGCCTCCCTGCCACTCTCCAAGGTGCTGAACTCACCTAGGTCTGGGAGGCCAGTCAAGGCCCATCCCAGGCGGCCTGCCAGAGCCCCACCCTCTGAGTTAACACCTTGCCACTTACACTCAAGATACCGTGTGTGTGTGTGTGTGTGTGTGTGTGTGTGTGTGTGTGTGTGTGTGTGTGTGTGTGTGTGTGTGTGTGTGTGTGGACAGGGTCTAGTGTAGCTCAGGCTGGTCTCAAACTCCCCGAGGACTCAAAGATGACCTTGAACTCTTTTGTTTTTGGAAACATGGTCTCACTGTAGAGCAGGCTGGCCTCAAACTCACAGAAATCCACCTGCTGGTGCCCCCCAAGTGCTGGGATGACAGGTGTGTACCCACTGAGTCACAGCCCCAGTATTGTCAAAATACTTTATTGACAGTCACAAACAACAGTCTTAGAAAAGGGGGGTGCTTAGCTGGGCGGTGGTGGCGCACACCTTTAACCTCAGCACTCAGGAGGCAGAGGCAGAAGGATCTCTGTGAGTTCGAGGCCTGCCTCTGTCATCCAGACCCTGTCTCTCAAAGAAAAAAAGGAGATGGGCATTTGTGGGCTGGGCCCACTCCAAAGTCCATACCCCGGTGTTGGAGAACCCGGTCCCCGAGGCCCTGCATCTTCCCAGTGGTCACGGGATAGGGAAGGCTCCATGGGGTGGGGGTCAGGGCTCAGGTGGAAGTGTGTCTGTCTGTCGGGGTCTGTGTAGGTAAGGGCGTCTAGTTCTTGTCCTACACCAGGGCCTCTGTACTCAGGCCTGCCTGCACCCCTCCACTGGATATGCAGGGTCAGCTTCTGGAGGAGGCGCCGTCAGTCCCTAGGGTTGTCTGTGAATCTGGGTCTGCGGCTGTCACAGCACCTCCAGAGCACCCTGCACCAGACGGACCCTCAGCCACCTTGGTAGCCAGGACAGCCACATCTCCACCCCTGGCATCTCCAGCCCCACCCGGCCCGGGCTAAGCAGCGATTCCAAAGCCACCCAGTCCAGCAGGGTGGCCCGGCCCAGGTCCTCCGTGGCATTGACCAGCACCAGGGTGGAGTTGTCTAGCTCTCCTGTGGAGTTGCTCAGCATTGGTATTTCCATAAAATTGCCCCAGTCTGCGCCGAGGCCGCCGGAAGGAGAGCCTTTGTGGGTTGTGCCAGCGTCTGGCCAGGGTCCTGGGACCTCGGAGCCTGGGGCGACGTCGGGAGCCACGCGGGATGCAGCGTGGTTGTGGAGGGTTCTGGAAAACACTGGACAGAATCGTGGAGTCAGAGGAGACCACGGAGGCTTTGGGGGCCTCCCCTGCCCCAGGTGGGCAGGACGCAGTGGGGACTGTGTTGCATTGTGTGCACTGTGGTTGTGGGGTGCCACAGCACCCCCCGCGTGGGTCTGAGGGCTGTTTCGAATGCTTCCATTCTTCCATTTTGTGGACTTGGGCATTGAGCTCAGGTCGTCAGCTTGGTAGCAAGCGACCTATGTGCCCCCCAGCCCCCTGACATGGGCTTTTGGTTTTGGGGTGTGTGTGTGCTTATTTGTTGATATTTTTGTCAGGGGTCTCGTAGCCCAGGCTGTCCTGGGTAGCCTAGAATAACCCTGGACTGATCCCCCTGCCTCCACCTCCGGGGGGACGAGCCTGCACCACCGCACCCGATTTCCGCGGTGCTGGGGATGGAGGCCAGGCCAGCGCGGCCTGCTGAGCCCCGCCCTCACCCGGGGCGCAAGGCTGGGACCACCCACCTCGTACTGGCACGAAGTCTCCAGGGCTGTCGGCCTTGTTGGAGTCGAAAGGGCTGATGGAGGGGAGGACGATCAGCACAAAGGACAGCAGAAGGACCTGCCAGACACGGGGCGGGGTCACCCCATCCTCCTGAACTCACAGGCAGGGGAGCAGGTCCCACTAGCGGGGGTGGGTGGGCTTTTCGTTTTATTTCCTCTAGATGGGCCTGTGGTGTACTGAGACAGCGCCTGACTCTGTAGCCCAGGCTGACCCGGAACTCCATGGTTGTCCCACCGTGGCAGGCTCCACGGCCCCGCTCCTAAGACACTCGCTTCCCCCGCTACCCATCGGACTAAGGCCGAGCAACCCCACCCCAGTCCTGGGGACCCCGGGAGTGCCTGCGGGGGGGACTCACAGCAATGCAGGTGCCGGTGTGGGCGGATTTGCTGGTTGACTGGACCACAAGGGCCTGCAGGTGCTTCAGCTGCTCCAGGAGAGACCTTGCCGGGAGAGGACATCCGAGGTGAGCCCTCGGGGCCTCCTTGCTTCCTGGCCCTCTCTGGAATCCCCCAGCCTCTTTGGAGTACTAACTTCACCCCTTCTAAGACGCCCTCCCTGCCTCCCTCCTGCCTCTCTGGCCCTCAGTCCCCCAATCCTGCCACACAGCAGACTCTGTCCTGCCCCAGGGCCTTTGCCCAGGCTTTGCCCTCTGTACCAAGAACATTGTTTCCACGGATATGTCTGTAGCTGGTTCTTGCTCATCCCAGAGGACTTTGTATATGCCAATTCCTCTCTAGCCAACTCTTACACACCCATCAAAGTCCCAAATAAAATTCCCCTCCTTGGTAGACAAAGGTCTCATTTCTTGTTCTCTTAACAGCCACTGTGCCAGAGTTTTGTCCTTCAAGACCCTCCCTGGGCAAACCCTAGGGAGAACCGCACCCCCCCCCCCCCCCCCGGGCATCTCAACACACACTCACAAATTTTGCTTTTCTAAATGCAAGACCTTCCTCTGCAGCTCCTGGTTCTGGGCAGTACATGCTGACATCCTGGGAAGACAAGGACCCTGAGAACGTGCCTGTCACCCGCCACCCCCACGGACACTTCCTGCTTTACACACGGGGACCCAGCGACTGAGAACACAGGGCAAATGGCAGCCGAGGCCACAATGCCTCTGTAACAGGCCAGGATGTGTGTGTCACTTGTGTGTCCGGGGTGTGCATGCCTGTGGACACTGGAAGGGGACCCTGAATGTCTCCTTCGATCTCTCGCCACTCTTTTTTAAGAGACCATCAGTTGGGCGGTGGCGGCACACGCCTTTAATCCCAGCACTCGGGAGGCAGAGCCAGGCGGATCTCTGTGAGTTCGAGGCCAGCCTGGGCTACAGAGTGAGTTCCAGGAAAGGTGCAAAGCTACACAGAGAAACCCTGTCTCGAAAAACCAAAAAAAAAAAAGAAAGAGAGAGAGAGAGAGAGAGAGAGAGAGCGAGAGCGCGCATCATCACCAGGCTCTCTCCACTTTCTGTTTTAAAATATTTCATATTATTATTGTTGCTGAGACAGTGTCTCTCTTTATACAGCCCGGTCTGGCCGGAGATCACAGAGATCCTCCTGCCTCTGCCTTTCCAGTGCTGGGATCGACCCTCCAGCCCTGTGCCAGGTATTTATTATTTTTTATCTCTCTGTGTGCACATCAATGGAGGTTCCGTGGACCTGGGGTGACAGCGGCCGTGAGCCGCCCGATGCGTCAGTCAACCATGGGTCCTCATGAGAGAGCAGTAAACGTTGTAGCCGTGAGCCCCAAGAATCCCCTGCCTCAGTGTCTGGAGTGCTGGCATAGCATGAGCCCCACACCGGCTTCCGTGAACGGAAGGGGTGACCTCGGGTCCTCAGGGCCAACAGCCTGTGTTCCTGCAGCCTGAGGAGGGGGTGAGGAGGGGGGTGAGGAGGGGGGTGAGGAGGGGGATGAGGAGGGGGGGCTGAGGAGGGGGATGAGGAGTGGGGGGATGAGAAGGGGGGATGAGGAGGGGGGGCTGAGGAGGGGGATGAGGAGGGGGGTGAGGAGGGGGGTGAGGAGAGGGGTGAGGAGGGGGGGCTGAGGAGGGGGCTGAGGAGGGGGGTGAGGAGGGGTGATGAGGAGGGGGGTGAGGGGGGGGATGAGGAGGGGGGTGAGGAGTGGGGGGATGAGGAGGGGGGATGAGGAGGGGGCTGAGGAGGAGGGTGAGGAGGGGGCTGAGGAGGGGGCTGAGGAGGGGGGGTGAGGAGGGGGATGAGGAGGGGGATGAGGAGGGGGATGAGGAGGGGGATGAGGAGGGGGATGAGGAGGGGGGTGAGGAGGGGGCTGAGGAGGGGGCTGAGGAGGGGGCTGAGGAGGGGGCTGAGGAGGGGGGGATGAGGAGGGGGGTGAGGAGGGGGATGAGGAGGGGGGTGAGGAGGGGGATGAGGAGGGGGCTGAGGAGGGGGCTGAGGAGGGGGCTGAGGAGGGGGGTGAGGAGGGGGCTGAGGAGGGGGGTGAGGAGGGGGGTGAGGAGGGGTCTGAGGAGGGGGCTGAGGAGGGGGCTGAGGAGGGGGGTGAGGGGGGGCTGAGGAGGGGGCTGAGGAGGGGGCTGAGGAGGGGGATGAGGAGGGGGGTGAGGAGGGGGGTGAGGGGGGGGATGAGGAGGGGGATGAGGAGGGGGCTGAGGAGGGGGGTGAGGAGGGGGCTGAGGAGGGGGCTGAGGAGGGGGCTGAGGAGGGGGCTGAGGAGGGGGGGGTGAGGAGGGGGCTGAGGAGGGGGGGTGAGGAGGGGGCTGAGGAGGGGGCTGAGGAGGGGGCTGAGGAGGGGGGGATGAGGAGGGGGTGAGGAGGGGGATGAGGAGGGGGTGAGGAGGGGGGATGAGGAGGGGATGAGGAGGGGGATGAGGAGGGGGCTGAGGAGGGGGCTGAGGAGGGGGCTGAGGAGGGGGGTGAGGAGGGGGGCTGAGGAGGGGGGTGAGGAGGGGGATGAGGAGGGGGGTGAGGAGGGGGGGTGAGAAGGGGGATGAGGAGGGGGGTGAGGAGGGGGGCTGAGGAGGGGGGTGAGGAGGGGGTGAGGAGGGGGCTGAGGAGGGGGATGAGGAGGGGGCTGAGGAGTGGGGGGATGAGGAGGGGTGATGAGGAGGGGTGATGAGGAGGGGGACTGAGGGGAGAGATCTGCCGGGGTGTCGCCCTGACCCTGCAGAGCCGAGCAGGCCACATGCAGCCCTATCCTTCCCCAGCGCCAGGTCCCCGTGGGACTCAGAGCTGCCTGCCACTGTCTCCAAGCCTGACCGACCCGGGTTTGACTCACACAAACCCCCCTCCAGAGGCAGAGAGCCGCTCTGCACGGGTGTGCGGGTGTGCGGGTGTGCAGGTGTGCAGGTATGCGGTGGGTGGGTTGTGCGGATGTGCTGGTGTGCGGGTGTGGGGTGGGTGGGTGTGCGGGTGTGCGGGTGTGAGGTGGGTGGGTGTGCTGGTGTGCGGGTGTGGGGGTGGGTGGGTGTGCGGGTGTGCGGGTGTGAGGTGGGTGGGTGTGCTGGTGTGCGGGTGTGGGGTGGGTGGGTGTGCGGGTGTGGGGGTGGGTGGGTGTGCGGGTGTGCTGGCGGGTGTGCGGTGGGTGGGTGTGCGGGTGTGCGGTGGGGTGGGTGTGCGGGTGTGCGGGTGTACGGGTGTGCGGTGTGTGGGTGTGCGGTGGGTGCGGTGGGTGGGGTGTGCGGTGGGTGCGGTGTGGGTGCGGTGGGTGCGGTGTGCGGTGGGTGCGGTGGGCGGGGTGTGCAGGTGTGCGGGGTGTGCGGGTGTGCGGTGGGTGGGTGTGCGGTGGGTGGGTATGCGGGTGTGCGGTGGGTGCGGTGGGTGCTGTGTGCGGTGGGTGCGGTGTGCGGGTGTGCGGGTGTGCGGTGGGTGGGTGTGCGGTGTGCAGGTGTACGGGTGTGCGGTGGGTGGGTGTGCGGTGGGTGGGTGTGCGGCTGTGCGGTGGGTGGGTGCGGTGTACGGGTGTGCGGGTGTGCGGGTGTGCGGTGGGTGGGTGGGTGTGCGGTGTGCGGGTGTGCGGTGGGTGGGTGTGCGGTGGGTGGGTGTGCGGTGTGCAGGTGTACGGGTGTGCGGGTGTGTCGGGTGTGCGGTGGGTGGGTGTGCGGTGTGCAGGTGTACGGGTGTGCGGTGGGTGGGTGTGCGGTGGGTGGGTGTGCGGTGTGCAGGTGTACGGGTGTGCGGGTGTGCGGGTGTGCGGTGGGTGGGTGTGCGGTGTGCAGGTGTGCGGTGGGTGGGTGTACGGGTGTGCGGTGGGTGGGTGTGCGTTTTGTGCAGGTGTGGCGGGTGTGCGGTGGGTGGGTGTGCGGGTGTGCGGGTGTGCGGTGGGTGCGGTGGGTGGGTGTGCAGGTGTGCGGGTGTGCGGTGTGCGGGGTGTGCGGGTGTGCGGGGTGTGTGGGTGTGCGGGTGTGCGGGTGTGCGGTGGGTGGGTGTGCGGGTGTGCGGGTGTGCGGTGTGCGGGTGTGCGGGTGTGCGGTGGGTGGGTGTGCGGGTGTGCGGGTGTGCGGTGGGTGGGTGTGCGGGTGTGTGGGTGTGCGGGTGTGCGGGTGTGCGGTGGGTGGGTGTGCGGGTGTGCGGGTGTGCGGTGTGCGGTGTGCGGGTGTGCGGTGGGTGGGTGTGCGGTGTGCGGGTGTGCGGTGGGTGGGTGTGCGGTGTGCGGGTGTGCGGGTGTGCGGTGGGTGGGTGTGCAGGTGTGCGGGTGTACGGGTGTGCAGGTGTGCGGTGGGTGGGTGTGCGGGTGTGCGGGTGTGCAGGTGTGCGGTGGGTGGGTGTGCGGGTGTGCAGGTGTGCGGTGTGTGGTGTGCGGGTGTGTGGTGTGCGGGTGTGCGGTGATTGGGTGTGCGGGTGTGCGGGTGTGCGGTGGGTGGGTGTGCGGTGTGCGGTGTCCACACACACAAATCCACGCACCCGTCGGTGCTCATTGGACTCCGCATTAGTGGGGAGAGACATCGGATCGTGTCCACCCCAGTGTGGTTGAGCTGTAAAACTTGACCATCTCTGCCTCAGTTTCCCTTCGGAGTGTGCGGCCAGCCCGCTCACCGGTTCTCCAGACCGTCGATGTACTCCTTCTTCTTCTTCCTGCTCTCCTGAGCCGACTGTTTATTCCGGATCTTCCTGCGGACTTTTTTCAGGACTCTTTCCTCATACTGCGGAGCGGGGACGGGGGACACGACGCGCTGTGTCAACCTCTGCTGTCCCCAACCCCACACCCAACCCGTGATCTCTGTGTTTGCCCAGGCTAGCCCCTAACTCACATGTAGCCGAGGATGGCCTGGAACTCCCGCCTCCCGCTCCTGGGTGCCCTGCCTGGTTTCTGCGGTACTGGGAACGGAGCGATCTGCCCACCGAGCCGCACCCTCCCCTACAGTCCTGCTCCATCCCTAGAATACTCCAGGGCTCCACGCTTTCGGGCTGCACCCGAGTGAAGACCCCAGTCTGAGAAAATGTGCCGTCGCCATCGTGGCCTCGGCTCGGGCCACAGCCCCACCTGGTGGCGATGCCCGGGAACAGCATCAGTGTGAATGGCAGGCCGGGGAAAAACAGTAAATATTTGCAAGGCGGAGGCAGGCGGATCTCTGTGAGTTCGAGGCCAGCCCAGAGCGAGCTCCAGGACAGCCAGGGCTGCACAGTGGTTCCATCCACAGGGCCACACGCCCCAGGCTTGGGAGTGCGCACCTGCCCCACTCTGGCGGTGGAGGCAGGGGAATAAGAGCTGAGCTAGTCACATGCCGCAGATCCAGCCCCACACACCTTGGTGAGAGGCAGCTGGGTGGGGAGGGTCACCCCTTCTTTAGCCAGCAGCTTCTTCTCGTCCTCTGTCAGCACCAGCTCCTGGCAGTGCCCACTCCCGGGACCCAGCAGCTGGGAGGCAGCCAAGGAATGCTGTTGCTGTGGAAACGAGGGGGCGTCCATTAGAGATGCACAGACTCTGAATCTAAGGAAGTGAGCAGGGCGTGGGGAGGGAGCAGGGCCTGTCATCTGAACACCCAGGACGACCAGGCAGGGGGGATTCAAGTTCAAGACCTGCTGGGGAAACTTAGCAAGACCCTGTCCCCAGAAATAAAAAGAGGGCTGGGGGCGGGGCCCAGGGCTGGGGGCGGGGCCCAGGGCTGGGGGGCGGGACGGATCGATTGATTGGCAGGTGCAGTGGTCCTGCAGCATCACACTTAAATGAATGCTTTCTTCCAACAGCCTCTATCCTAACGCTGCCTCCCTGCAGCAGGCACCCAGGGCTGGTCCTGCTGCCCTCCCCCACGGCCCCCCATCCCCCTCTCCCTTTACTGAAGAGTTGGCCAGCCCAGAAGAGCGGACAGGACACTGCAGGACTGTCTGGGGCCGAGGTGTGCCCAGGTCCTCTCTGGGCATCGGTGTCCCAGACTGTGCAGGGCGGACATGGGGGCGGGGGGTGTGTCTGTCCGGACATCCAGGACCTGAAGCAGTGGGGTGGGGCGGGGATGCCTACCAAGTCCCCGCCGCTGCCGGACAGCAGCAGTTCCTTCACCGTGAGGTTGAATCTGGAGGGGGAACCAGCCTGCTCCTCCGGGTACAGTGTGTCTGTGCTCCACATGTCTGCCGGGGGGGACGGGACAGAGAGGACGTCAGTCTCAGCGCCCAGCAAGTCCCTAATGTCGGCCTCAAAAATGGAGGCCTCTTTCCCTGTTAAGACGGGGTCTGTCTGTCACCCTGGCTGTCCTGGAACTCGCTCTGTAGCCCAGGCTGGCCTCGAACACAGATCTGCCTGCCTCCGCCTCCCGAGTGCTGGGACCAAAGCCTGAATGGGAGGGTACATGATCCTGTGCCTCAGTTTCCCCTGTGTTATGTGATGCAGCACACTCATCTTAGAAAGTGGGTCTGTGCCATGGGGTTATAGAGGCGCAGCATGTTGTAGGGGACTTAGAGCCAGCACAGCCAGGAGTGGCCGCCACACAGGGGCACAGGACGGGGGCACGGCCGGTGTCCTATCTAGCCTGTACCTCTGGATAGCCTGCACACAGTAGGCATGCTGTTTTAACAGCACGGAAACTGTGGCAGTAAACTCTGATCAGACTGAGCAGAGCTGCGTGACCTTAGGAAAGGAGCTTCACCTCTCCGAACTTTGACTTTATCAGTAACGAGGAGAAATAAGCAGCTTGCAAATCTTCAGAGACAGAGCTTGGGGGCGTGGTCAGGGTGGAGCCCCGCCCAGAATCCCCAGTGAGGGGCTGGGGGCGTGGTCAGGGTGGAGCCCCGCCCAGAATCCCCAGTGAGGGGCTGGGGGCGTGGTCAGGGTGGAGCCCCGCCTAGAATCCCTCACTGGGGAGGTGCTAGGGGCGTGGTCAGGGTGGAGCCCCGCCCAGAATCCCCAGTGAGGGCCTGGGGGCGTGGTCTGGGTGGAGCCCCGCCCAGAATCCCCAGTGAGGGGCTGGGGGCGTGGTCTGGGTGGAGCCTAGCGGTGGCAGCCCTGTGTCCCGTATCTCCCGTGGGGCTCTTCCTGGCTAGGGGTGCGGATCGATGTCCCTGAAGTAAATCATTATTGATCTCTGGGTGGCCTCTGATAAGCTGTCCTTCAGGGCAGAACCCGCGCCTGCGCCAGGGGCTCCGGGATCTCCCGTGCTTTTATTGAGCACCTACTGGGTTAGCCGCACTTGGACAAAGTGAGGTCCAGGCCGCCCTCCGGCCTCGCGCCCTGGCTGCCCGGTGTCTGAGCCGCCTGGGGGAGTTTGTGTCCAGGACTGAGGCTGGCGCCACCCCAATCTGTGAAATGGGCCCCACCGTGCCCCCCCCCCCCACCCCAAGGTGTTCGCTTGTCCCACGCTCACCCAGGTCGATGGCCACCGAGGACTCCAGTACTTGCGTCCTTGGAGGCGCGGGGCATGGGGCGCTGGGCAGGTAGGAGGGGCAGGGCCCCTTGCCTGGCTGGCTGGGATGACACCTGGCGGGGGGGTTCGCTGCTCCGCTGCTGCGAGGTGGGGTGTCCTGCGGATCCGAGGGCAGGTCCTCAGAGATGCCGCTGTCACTGTCAGCCGGGGACCATAGCGGCGGGGAGCTGGGGTCAGAGTCTCCAGGTCCCAGGATGGAACTTAGGAAGTCATCGGAGTCAGAATTCCGCAGAACCTTCTAGCGGGGAAGTGGGGAGAGCGAGACACACATGCTCAGTCGGGCTGCTGTGTGGGTCCGGGCAGCTCCCTGACCCTCTCTCTGCCTTAGGGACCGACAAACAGGGAAAGACAGACGCGGGTGAGCACCTCTGAGTCCTGAGTTTGAATCTGAATTAAGTTCGAAGCTGGCTGTGTGACTCGGGGTGTGCGTCATGCCCTCTCTGAGCCTCCACCCCCGACCCCCGTGAGAAGGAACATCTAGCCACACAGGCTGGTTGAGCAGCTGTGGCGAGGCCAGCAGAGCCACAGGCCTGTCCTGCGCCCCCACCCCAGCACTGTGGCTGGCAGCGCCCACACGGGACCTCACCTGCTCCTCCCCGGCGTGGCTCCAGCTCTCCGCCAGCTCCACATTCCTCAGGACGCCGTCCTGCCGGTCAAACAAGAGATCCAGGAGTTCCAGGCTGTCCAAGGGACCCATGGCGCAGGCAGGGGACTCCATCTGAAGTGGGGAGACGGAGGGGGCAGGTCACACGGCGCCCTTCACACACAGCACCCCAACTCCTTCTGGGCCCCTCGGCCCCCGGGCTGGGTCTCCTGGTCTGTAAATCTGCCCAAAGTGTTGACAGAGTTGGGCCGGGGTAGCCAGGAGTCTAAAACACCACGGAGGCGTGTGTATGAGGCTATGATGTGAGTTCTCAGGAGGCTGAGGCAGGAGGATGGCAGGTTCCAAACCAGCTTGGGCTACCACGAGCAAGACTCAAAACAAAAAACAAGCAAACAAACGAAATCTGGGCATCCATATGGCTAGTGTGCTGCGGCACACATTTCACTGTAATTAAAAAATGTTAATATAGCCGGGCGGCGGTGGTGGCGCACACCTTTAATCCCAGCACTCGGGAGGCAGAGGCAGGTGGATCTCTGTGAGTTCGAGGCCAGCCTGGTCTACAGAGCGAGTTCCAGGACAGCCAGGACTACACAGAGAAACCCCGTCTGGAAAAAAAAGTTAATATAGATGTATGTAAAAACTTCTAGAGATTGGCGCCTGGATCAAGCCCGTCCTGGAGTCCCCGGGAGGCTGTGGGGTTCCAGTGCACCCCTCTCCAGCCGTCCTCCCGCAGGTGTGGTGCGGCCCTGTTAGCCTGGACGCCCCCCCCCCGGCTCATCCCCCCCCCATAGCCCCTCACCTTTCCTATGTCCCCATCCATGTCCCGGCCTGTGGCAGCCCCTTCCCGGGTCCCTGTCGCCGCCTGCTGCGCCCTTTGCCACGTCTCCACCCCCAAAGGATGCTGAAATACCGGGCCGCAGCTCCCAGCCCAGCCCCCGCTGCGACTGGGCGCCGGGGGGGAGACAGACAGGACCTGGGGCCAATGGCGAGCGGCGGCGGGGGGAGGGCGGGACGACCGTTATCGCTCTGTTTTGTGCTTTTCCCGGGAGCAAAGAGCAAAGTCTGGGGTGTCGGGTCTGCGTGACCTCTCCCCTACTTACAGCCACTGCTTCTGTCTGGCCTCCCCGGATGTTGGGTCCCCAGCAACCCCAGGGTTCTTGGGTGGGTCGTGCCTGCTCCAGACAGAATAAAACAGCAGCCTCTGCTTGTGCGCGGAATTCCGTCCCCCCCCTCATGCAGGGTGACCCCTCAGCTGCCGAGCGTCCCCCACGGGGAATCAGTGCCTGTGGAATCACCTGACCTGCATGTATTTAGGCAACAAATATTTATACAAGGTGCACTTTCCCTACCCCAGGGCCTTTGCACCTGTCCGTTAGGCTGCCTGGCCTGCCGCTGTGAGCGACTCCTTGCCCAGCCTGGGCTCCCAGTCACTAGGCATCTAAGGATGACCTTGAACTCCTGATCCTCCTGCCTCCGCCTCCTGGGATGACAGGTGTAGATGTGGATCACCACACCTGGCTTATGCGGGACTGGGACACAAAGAACCCAGGGCTTTGTGTGTGTCCGGCCAACTCTACCAACGCCTTTACAGCCTTCGAAGCCCTGTCTGCCGGGTCCATCTGCTTCCTGCTTCCCTTCCACCCTTGGGGGGCCGGGATAAACTGGACAGGTCACGGCTAACTGCTGTTCTCCAGAGAGGGTGGGTACACAGGTGGCGCTCATTCCATGCCTGCTCATTGAACGCCTCCTGTGTACCTGCCACCGGTTTAGGCGTGACCAATCAATCATCCACAAGTGGCCTGGACTGAGATGGGTAGCGAGATGAGTAACAGCTTGAGGGACAAATGCTGGCAAGAAACCAAATGAAGCTGGGCGGAGGTGGGGCACGCCTTTAACCCCAGCCCTCAGGAGGCAGAGGCAGGAGGATCTCTGTGAGTTCGAGGCCAGCCTGGGCTACAGAGTGAGATCCAGGACAGCCAGGGCTGCACAGAGAAACCCTGTCTCGGGGGGAAAAGAAAGACAGACAGAAAGAAAGAAAGAAAGAAAGAAGAAGAAGAAAGAAAGAAAGAAAGAAAGAAAGAAAGAAAGAAAGAAAAGAAAGAAAGAAAGAAAGAAAGAAAGAAAACGAAACCAAATGACTCCATCGTAAGGAATCCCGGGCCACCTGGAGTCCTGAACGGGAGACTGAGCTGGTGAGCGGAGAGCAGCGGGACGGTGCTTCAGGGTGAAGAGACGGTCTGTGCAAAGGTCCTGGGGCAGGGTGGAGCTTCGAGCTTGGAGGAGCATTGAGGACCCTCCTGAGAAGAGGAAGGACGGGGGGGGGTAAGAAAATGCCCTTGAGATGACATGGGGGGGGCGTTAAGTGAGCACCTACTCAGTAAGTAAACCCCGGCACAGCCTGAGCGGAAGGGGTCGGGGACATTGGAGTTGAGGTCTGGAAAGAGAGGTGACAGGGAGGGACAGCCAGGATTGGCACAGGGACGAGAGGAGAGGAGGCAGGGCAGGGCTGGACAGGACAGGCAGGGCTTCGAGGGCTGTCAAGGAGTTTAGCGTGGACTAAGCGTAGCAGGAAGCTGCTGGGAACTTAGCGAATGGAGGAGGTGCCGAGGGCGGCATCAGGAGAAATGGACTTTCTGGCATCTATTTGGCGGGACCTCAAGTGAGTGGAGGCCAGGGACACTGCTCTGTGCCCGGCAGGACCCAGGATGTCCCACAGAGTACAGCGCCAGCCCAGTGTCCACAGTGCCCTGCGGGCTCCTGAGCAGAGCTGCAGCCCCTATGCAAGCCACGGCCTCAGGGCCCTTGGCCTCTGGTTTTCTCACAGTCCCAGGGTCCTCTCTGTTTGCTTCCTAGGGTCGTGTTTGGTTTGGCCAGAACGTGAGGTCACAAGGGAATGTCTTTAGTCATTTCTGAGATGGCTTCTTGCCACACTGCTGTGCCAGAGGGTGACCACCTGCTGGCGGAGGTCTGTGTTCCCAGCTCCTCCAGAGGACCAGGCAAGAAGAATTTAAATGCAGGGGAGCCTGGGTGTGCTGAGGCTTGCCTTTAATCCCAGCACTCGGGAGGCAGAGGCAGGCGGATCTCTGTGAGTTCGAGGCCAGCCTGGTCTACAGAGCGAGTTCCAGGAAAGGCGCAAAGCTACAGAGAGAAATCCTGTCTCAAAAAAACAAAGAGAGAGAGAGAGAGAGAGAGAGAGAGAGAGAGAGAGAGAGAGAGAGAGAGAGAGAGAGAGAGAGAGAGAGAGAGAGAGAGAGAGAGCGAGCGCCTGGGGCATAGTGTAGCTCAAGAGCATACCCCCCTCCCCAGAAATCCCCAGTGAGGAGCTTGGGGGCGTGGTCAAGGTGGAGCCCCGCCCAGAACCCCCAGTGAGGGGCTGGGGGGCGTGGTCAGGATGGAGCCCCGCCCAGAACCCCCAGTGAGGGGCTGGGGGCGTGGTCAGGGTGGAGCCCCGCCCAGAACCCCCCAGTGAGGGGCTGGGGGGGGTGGCTGAGTCATGAATTCTTCCCCATCCTGCCATGAGGCACAGCGCTCCATCCCTAGTACTGCAAAAGTTAAATCCAGTAATTAATTAATTCGTAATGAACTAGGTCCGTCCTTTGCGGGCTACTTTATGACAAGGCGTGTCTGCAAGAAGCTCGCAGGCAGCGTCTTGTGATGGTGACTCTCAGGGCCGTCTCTGTCCCTCCCTGGCAGCCCGACCCCTTGGTCCTGAAGGGGTGCTGGGTGTGTCGGGACAGGCTGCACTGTGTGAGGGACAGAGCACCTGACTCACTCTGGCCCCTGCTGCGGGGCCAGGCCACACCCAGGTCCCCTGTTCCTTATCTGCTCACCTGAGCCTCTCTCCCCGCCTTTGCATTTGGAACAGCTGCTGGGAAGGATGGAGAGACCCCCGCCCCTCCTCCTCCTCCTCCCCAGAACACAGCTAGGTGTGAGTGACCCCCTTTGTGACAGGGGTGCGGGCTGGGTGGCCACAGGGGACTCTGCTCTCTCTTGGGTAACTCTCAGGCTTCATCCTTCCGGGAAGGTGCGCCGCGTGCCCCCACCCCCGCTCTGTGGGAGCTCCTGCTCTCACATTCTACAAGCACTTAACCAGCTAAGTCATCCCTCTGGCCTTGTGCCAGGTCTGGAGACCTGGAGGACTTAACTAAGAGATTGCTCCCCCCGGCTCCCCACACCGGTAGATGACCCCAATAGCCTCAGAAAGATTCGTGGTAGAGCCCGGTGTGGAGGCACCCCAGCACTCGGGGGTGGAGGAATGAGGGACGGTGGGGTGGCCTGGACCTGTGGTAGGCAAAGAGCCACGGGAGGGGAGAGAGTGGGTTGGGTGGGCGGAACAGTGTTTAGATCCAGGAACAGCCTGTGCAAAGGCCCTGAGGTTAGAGGATAACCTCAGAGGCCTGTGGGGCTGCAATGGCTGAGCTGGGGACAGAGTGCTGGAGAGGACAGGGTGGACAGGTGACCATGGGATGGGGTTGTAGGGTGAGGCCTGCAGGGTCAGTCCCACCATGGGGATGGCTTTAGAAGATTCTCCAGAGCCGGGCGATGGTGGCGCACGCCTTTAATCCCAGCACTCGGGAGGCAGAGGCAGGCGGATCTCTGTGAGTTCGAGGCCAGCCTGGGCTACAGAGTGAGTTCCAGGAAAGGCGCAAAGCTACACAGAGAAACCCTGTCTCGAAAAAACCAAAAAAAAAAAAAAAAAAAAAAAAAAGAAGATTCTCCAGGAGCCAGGGTTGAGAACAGAACAGGAAGGCTCCAAGATGGATGCCCAGGGTCCCCCTTGGCTGACAAGATGAAGAGGGTGGCCAGCTTCTGCCCAGGTCAGCGCCGCACAGGGGCAACCTCGGGTCCATCTCCCACTCCATGCTCTGCTGGCCCTGCCCCAGCCGGCTGGGTCTAGCCACAATCTCATCAGCGATTGCTTTATGGCCTAGGGGTACAAAGGTTACAGTGAACCCCGATGCCAGGCAAAAGGGGCCGCAGGGACCTGGTGCTGACCCTCGGTCTCAGTGCGGGCCCTGGTGCTGCAGGGGCGTGGGCTCGCCTGGCATCTCACAGGCTGCCGAAGAAAGGCCAGGGCGCAGTTACATTTGTTTGTGACAGGGACTCACTCCTCCTGCCTCAGCCTTCCAAGTGCTGGGATGACAGGGATGTGCCAGGACACCTGCTAAGGTGAGATCTCTTAGAAGGGCATCACTTAGCAGGGCGGTGGTGGCGCATGACTTTAATCCCAGCACTCGGGAGGCAGAGGCGGGTGGATCTCTGTGAGTTCGAGGCCAGCCTGGGCTACAGAGCAAGTTGCAGGACAGCCAGGGCTGCACAGAGAAGCTGGGTCCTCTGTGAGAGCAGCCGGTGCTCTAACCACTGAGCCCTCGCCCTCTTTCCATGGTGCTCAGCGTGGAGCCCAGGACCTCATCCACGGTAGGCAGGAGCCCTGCCAATGCGCCACACTCTTGCCCTGGCTTTTCCATTGAGAATCTGCCAGGGATATGCAGGCACCTGCCTGCCTTCTGAGCACGCAGGAGGTGGAGGCAGGAGGATTGCTGTTACTTCAAGGCCAATCTGGGTTACAGAGTGACACCCTGTGTCTAAATATAAACAATAACAAGGCCAGGCAATATAGTGGGGTGGCTCAGGTCTGTCATCCCAGCGCCCAGGAAGTGGAGGACTTCATGACAAAGGGACTTGGAGTCTAGCCTGGGCTGTGAGAGACCCTGACTCAAGGAAAATAGAAAGTAAATACGCAAAATGAATTAGGCCTGGTGCGGTGGCTCCGACTTTAATCCTGGACAACCTGCCCTACATAGTGAGGCCCTGACTTAAAAGAGAGGGGGAAGAATTAAACAGTGAAAGACAATTACCCAGCCCCACCCTGGTCCCTCCTCCCGGCCTCTGAACGTGCCCGGGCAAACGGACCCTGCCCGCCGAGCGGTGCTGCCCCCTAGAGGCCGATGCCCACAAGCGCGCGCTGGCCCGTTCCATTCATCGAGGATCTAATCGAGTGTTTCTTTAGTTAACAATTGACTAGTCGATTGGAGACGGGCCTCGTGTGGCCCCATCTGTCCTGA